ACGTGGTGCGATCATCCCCCTTGCGCGGAGTGAGGTTTCTCGACCCCACACAACATGATCTAATTGACCACCATTCATGGTTACCGCAAAAAAAAAACGGAGGTAAAAAAAAATAACGGTAACCTGGTTGCCGAGTTCACGAAGTGAATTGGCTTGTATTACAACGTTGTTGCCAAGCGACGAAAGCCCAACCCCGATGGCAAACACTGGGGGGGGCGGCTTGTTTTACAACGTCGTTGCCAAGCGACGAAAACCCAACCCCGATAGGCAAACACCGGAGGGGGGGGGGTGTACTCATAGTCGTGCATGCCGTAGTCGTTAGACCATTGACCTCGCATCCCTACAAAGCCGGGACGGAGCACGCCGGGTTCTCACCGGACCAGGCTCTCACATCACCAAGCGCGAAGCGCCGTGAGATATTCGGCGAGTCGCATGAAGGGTGCGCTGCATCCTGCTAAGGGTGTTCGGCATCTTGTGCTGACTTCCTTGCGTACGGATGACAGCTGCGTATGACTTGATTTATTTTCTGGTGCTTTCACTTCCAGAGACAGCAGTTGTAAGCACTGTATAACTGTCTCGAGGGTGCTTGACCAATTTGACACAACGTGGTGCGATCATCCCCCTTGCGCGGAGTGAGGTTTCTCGACCCCACACAACATGATCTAATTGACCACCATTCATGGTTACCGCAAAAAAAAAACGGAGGTAAAAAAAAATAACGGTAACCTGGTTGCCGAGTTCACGAAGTGAATTGGCTTGTATTACAACGTTGTTGCCAAGCGACGAAAGCCCAACCCCGATGGCAAACACCGGGGGGGGGCGGCTTGTTTTACAACGTCGTTGCCATGCGACGTAACCCAACCCCGATGGTAAACACCGGGGGGGGGGAGCAGGGGGGGGGCAATCGTGAGCGGAGGGCGTGGCTCCCGTGGGGCTCATAGGCTGTGGGTGTTATTCGGGCGATTGAGGCCACCCACCCGCAAACCTGAAGCGGCTGTTTTTAGAAAATATACGTCCAATCAATGAAAGACTGCTTTACCCATTCGAGATCATATCACAATCGAAGGGGACACGTTTGAGTGAATGGGATATTTTTGCTCGGCCGCAAACATTTTAGCATTGCATAGCAACGTCCCGCTTGGTATTTGAGAGCTCATCCCCCCACTCCCTTCCGCCTACCCCCCGCCCACCACCCCAACCAAAAAACAGTGCGTCCTCACCGGCCCCGCTTTCGGCTGCTCGCTGGAAGACATGCCGTGCTACAGCGGCAACTCGAGCGCCGCGCAGACCCAACCCGTCCCCAGCCCGTCTCCCACGGAGGCGGCGACGACGGCGCCCGCGCAGTTCGGTTCCGGTGAGATGGAAGGCGTCTTCACCGCAACCCCTACCGGCGCGCCTACGGCATACGGTCGAGGTTCGTCCTTGGCGGGGACCGCTAGCCCAACGCCCGCTGCTCCGATCTCTTCAGCAGACGGTGATGGCGGCGAGGCTCCGGCCGCGACTCGATCGCCGGTGGCAGGCAACGACGACACTGGAAGCGGCGGCAGTAGTGCTGGTAGCGGCTTCAACTCGGCAGGCACCTCGTCGGGCGGGGGCGACTTCGACGGGGCTGCGGAGGAGGCGGGGGACAGCGCCACTCGCGTTGCTTGGTCCACAGCAACGGCCGTGCCCCGCGCGGTTGTTACCCTTGGCGTCACCCTTTTCCTGGCGGCGAGGCATGCTGCTGCAATGTAGAAAGTGAAATACCGTGTTACTGTGTGGCAGTGCACTGCTCTCTGCCTCCGGAGGAAGAAGATTTACTGCGTGTCGTCGGAGGCCAATAACGCACGGAGAGACGTTTGGTGGCACATAAACGATTTATTTTTTGTTACAATGTTGTTGGCGTTCTTGTCAAGGGGGCCCCGCGCTGGTTCGATGAAATGTTCTTCCGTGTTTCTTGTCGGCAACAACGATGGCATAGAGGCCGGCAGGCGAGCGTTGGAACCTGAGGCTCTTGAAAGTTTACTATTTGGGTCCTCGTCTTGGTAGATTTGTTTGGGCACGCGTTGTTGACAGAGTGTTTGGGCACGCTTGCGGTTGGCGAGCGGGGTTTTGGAAACTCCTTGTTCACTGGCATGCTAGTATTGTATTTGTTGTTTCTCTGTTGTTGAGGTGAAATCTTCGTCTACCATTTCTGTTATCACCCGATTTGTTTTTACCATACATTTGTTCATACTTATTTTTCTGTGTGTTGTCCCTCGTCGGATTCGATGATCGTGCACTCATCAAACTTCCCCCAATCAGGCGTAGACGAAAGGGGGGCGTAAATACAGTTTCTTGCTCTGGTGTAGTATGCAGGACTCTTCCTGCAGGCGCACGGGTGGCGCGAGCTTGTGCACTCGCTCCTCCCGTATTGAGAAGTATTCTTGGTGTCTGGCAGTCGCGTAGAGAGGTGTTTTTGGGCTGCGATGTATTTACGACTCAGTATTCTCGGCAGTACTCATCGTTTGTGAAGATACATTTTGATTGGTTGGTTGTAGAACGCAGTACTATCGCTTTTTTTGGCACGCCGTGGCACGAGCTCGTGATTTGTGTTCCTTCCTTGGGAAGCCCTGGTACTACTGCTTCATAGATGCTTGAAGTTGAGTAAAAAGAGAGAAGGATTTGAAACAAGAGAATCGGGGCGTCCTCAGCAAATGTACGCAAGGATTGCCGCTCATGAGGTGTGTACTTAAGCACGCTCGTCAATTCTTAATCGGAGGAGCACGTAATATTTGCGCATCAATTATTCAGTGCCCGTCAAGTTAACTGTGAGTCAAGTTTACGTAACAAAGGCGGCACCGCTCTTGACGAAGGATATCAACGGAAGGTGTCGACCACGTTCGATACGCTTCAGATACCACTGATTGATCGAAATTTGCAATTTGATCACGCGGTGCATTAAATCGTATTGTGACAGCAGTTGGGAACATTGCATGCAGTGCAGTGATAGCTCCCGCCACACGTTCGTGTTGAGCTGCCATGGGAACTTTCATCAGTATTTCGGCACGAGTTAATTTCGAGTATCACCCGCCCTGGTGTATCACAGCTGTCCTGCCAGAACCGCACCGAAGCTGACGGGGCGTGGGGCGTGGGTATACCACGAACAATACTCAAGACATGTTTCAACTCTTTGACTTTCTTGGGCTTCTTCAACCGTGACATATCAAAACATGCCAATCCAGAAACACGGTCACACAAGAGAAACCCGCAATCAAATTCATTCTTACGAAACACCGTCACACAACAAGAGAAACCCGCAATCGAATTCATAAGCCCAGCGTAGTTGGGAATCAAGTTATCAGGGACAGAGGACACCTTCACCAAGAAACAATGAATCTCTCCCTTCTTCCCCTCGCTCCTCGACAAGCTTTTGCTTAGACATGGGTTGTAGCGAAGGGGGGGGTCTTTCTGGCGAGCAGGGCTAGACTCACCCTCAAGGGATGACCGAAACCTTCTTGCTGCTGCGCATATCCGCCGCGAGGCATGCGCGTGGTGGTGTAGTTGGGTCGGCACTGATGGGGTCAGGCGAAAAAATGTAGATGCGCGGGCCTCTGGCCGTCGGCGTAGGCAGCGATGCCCATCTCATTTTTTGTGCGCGGAGGCAGACACCGTCAGAAGGTGGACGGGAACTATGTACACGGCCCTAGGTTGGCTAGAGGGCGCTGCATTGCCTCAGTAACCTGGCTTCGCCATCAAAGGAGGAGGGAGCAGGTGGCGACGAGCTGAACTGGGCTGGTTGACCCCTTCGGCGCGAGAATTTTTATTTTTCAGACCAAGAACCTTGAGTGCAACGAGGGAGAAAGCGAGGAACCGACTGGGAAGGACAGCAACGAGAGCGTGTACGGACGGAGCAGGTCGAGTGGCGTTATGCTCGGGCTGACTACAGCGGCGCCGGACGGAGCAGCGGCACCGGAGCATGCGGGCGACATCGACCCGTGGCGCACGGACAAACATTTATATCTGATCTGTGTTGTCAATTTTTCTCGTTTTTTTCCTGATTTTCGGTGTTGGTTCTATGTGATGACGTCGTCACTGGTTTTGTAGAGAGACCCGTCAGAGATGGCGTGGCTAACCCGGGTGCCTTGGTTATGTGCCTGATCGTGGAAGACCCCTTCAATGTGGAACGATTCTTAGCTATTGTCGATATTTTCACTGCGTGCCTAACACAGACGATCGGGAGAGGTTCGGGTGATTGTCCATTGCAATCATGGCTTTGGTTGGTTGTTCTTTTTCACTGTACGTCCGCAGACACATTCTGACAGCACTTCAGACAGCAGCTTTGTGCCCCGCCAGCTGCTTGTTCCATGCCTACCATGGTGTTTTTGTACAGACAGCACTTCAGACAGCATTATGCTGTAGTCGGCAATCTTCCGTTTTGGTATAGAGTGGGACAGGGAGGGGGTGATGCTACTGTAGTCGAACGGTGGGACGGACGTGCAGTTCAGTTTTTGGGCACGCATACGGTGCTGCAGGGATTTTTAGGTGTACCTCTTCGGGCTCTTGCATACCTTTTTCTTGTCAGATGTGTGCGTGTTCTTTAGATCCTCAGATGGCTCTAGCACTTTCGTGACCACGGGCTGAGAGTCTTTTGCTAGATTTTGGCATTTAGCAACTGACATACGGTTTAATGTGAAGACAAACAACAACAACAACAACAACAATGAAAAAAAAAAAATGATGATGTAGCCTCGATCCCCCAATATGAACGAATGAATCCAACACACAATAAATGAACAGATAAAAATCCTCCAAGCAATATGCAATCGCTGGCACAAAATAGTCTACTTGTTTGCTTGTTGGCAGATGGCAGGTGCTACTACCACGAAATATGCCTACACCAAAATACCTCACCCCCTCAACTTCACCGATGGTGACAAAAGTCCAAGCCGCCAAGAGCCAACCATCTGTATAATAGGCAACATATCTAGTCTAAATCTGGAAATCAGTCACGATCGCTCCCTGTGTCCACGCAAGATTGACCCAAGGGGGTGTACCGCTTTCTCTCCGGCCCGTGATGGTGACTCCTAGTCTCAGTCGCTACCTCGCATAGCGCGCTGAGGGAGTGCTTTCGACTCCGCTTTAAGGACGCACATGGTTTTCCTAAAAAAAACGTCTTTGAAGCGGGGTTACGTCCTTAACATTCAGGGGACGATAGCTCACCATTCCCGGGGCCAATGGAGGCATGCTATGCCTCAAACTACGCGTCTCTTGCCAAGGAAGGGAGTGGCACGAAAAGTAAGCATCGCCGAGACGACTGGCAACCGTTTGTTCACGTCGAACATATTTACAATACTTGAAATGAGATTTACAGCAGTCGGGGGGGGGGGGGGGGGGGGGGGGGGTT